AGCCTTAGAGAAGGTCTATATACCTTATAGAAGCCATATAGAAGCCCTTTTTTAACCTAAACTCCCCACCTGTAGCTTCCCTAAGCCCTAAACCCTAAACCCCTAAACCCTAAACCCTAAATACCCTAAACCCTAAACTCCTCACCCTGTAGCTTCCTTTAACCAGGGTTTGGGGCTTTGAGTTTGGGGATTAGGGCCCGGCACAGTGAGACCCCAAAAAGGCCAAGCCTCCAACGTCTTGCAGACTCCTCGGGTTTAGGATTTAGGGTTGAGGAATTAGGGTTTAGGAATCAGGGTTTAGGGCTTAGGATTTAGGAATCAGGGTCTAGGGTTTAGGGTTTAGGAATTAGGGTTTAGGGTTTAGGAATTCGGGTTTAGGGTTTAGAGTTTAGGGCTAAGCCCTAAACCCTAAACCCTTGCACCGCTAAAGCGAGGTTTAGATGTGGAGGTCGAGCTCCGTGAAGCTCTTGTTGAGTGTGTGCTTCGGGTAACTTCCTAAGAACCCTAAACTTTGGCCCTTAAACCCTGGGCCCTAAAACCTTAAACCAAGGACCCGAAACACTACAGCCCAGCCTAAGTCGTTTTCTTCACATGCAGACCGTGGAAGTACCACGCTTCGGTGATGAGTTTTGAAGCCGTATTGGTTTTCTTTTATGAAGCTTTGTTCTTGCGCATGCGGGCTGGAGGGCGTGATAACGTTGCATTGCATTTTTCAGTTGAAACTAATTTCTCATCACAGAGTCTCCTGCATCGACTCAGCACACAAATCCACAAGAGCTTGCCGCAAGATGCTTCCGCAAAGAAAGTACGTGTCAGCCAGGCCCTGGAAATGAGCCGAAGTACCGCTGCCAAACCCCCCGAACCCGTGAAGCCCGAAAACTCGAAGGAAGCCACAAGCCCTAACAAGGCCCTAAACCCTAAACCCTAACCCCCAAGCCCTAAACCCTAAACCCCTGAACCCCGAAACCCCTAAACGCTAAAGACTTAGACCCTCACTCCGAGGTAACCCTTAAAGGTGCCCTTGAAAAGCTTCGACGGTGACTCTCTGAGGTATGTTGTGGGCTTTTCCCTGGCCATTGCTGCGAACCTTTCAGTGCACCCCTCGGCAGACTTCTAGGATTTAGGGTTTAGAAAATTTGGGATTTTGGCGGGTGGTTTGGGGAGAGTCCCGAAGCCTTTTGAAAAAAAAGGCATTCGCAACTTTGGATTCCTTTGCAAGGTTTAGGGTTTAGGGTTTGAGAAGGCTTAGATCTGTAACACGTAGGTCTGCTTGGGTTTCTAGAGTTGTTTTTGGGCGTTTGTCTCCGGAGCCCCGCGTCTGCATTCGTGAACTTCGCGGACGCCAAAGTCTTGGATGTTGCAACTGAGCTCGGGCATCCTTGGCCGTGCAGAAATAGGCATCCAAAAAGCAAAGCACTGAAAAAAAACAGAGAGATAGCCTATCATTCAGGCGTCCGCAAACAATCAAGCTCGGAAATGTTCCTGTCAGGGGGCAGGGATTTGTGGTGGAGATGACGCGGAAGCAAAACCCGACGGATTTCGGCCTGAAGGTGTTCGTCTACAGTTAACGAGCTACAGCGGGCTCGCTTGCAAATGCAGGACAACGACCGAGCAGACTTGTTCTTGCCTATATACATACATAACATTGCACATATATATATATATATGTGTGTGTGTGTAGCATGTCTTAGATATGTATATATATCTATATATATATATATAGAGTACATAGTAAGGGCTTCAGGATTAGGGTCTGGTGCTTCGGAGCTTCCGAATGAATTCCACCTCAAAGATCCCCTACAAACCTTCAGCCCAAATTTCAATCTATCCTAAACCCTAAACCCCTAAACCTTGAACCCCTAAACCCTGAACCCTAAACCCCTAAACCCCTAGACCCTAAACCCCTAAAGTCATACACCGTGACTTGCTCAGCACAAAGTTTCATCCTACACGGCTCAACTACACATCAGCTCGGGACCCAAACTGGGTTCTTCTTAAGGGATTTAGTCCAAGTTACCATAACAAGGAAGCCATATTATTTACTATAAATAGATCCCTATTATGGTAACGTAAATCCCTAAACCCTAAACCCCTAAACCCTAAACCTTGGATAAAATCCCCTAACAAGAGCCCAGCAAAGTCCCAAGTTTTCACCAAGAGCACGGGGGTTTCTGAACAGCTCGGGGTCCTTCCTTCCTAGCTTGGGTTCAGGGTGTAGGGGTTTAGGGGTTTAGGGTTTAGGGGTTTAGAGTTTTGGGGTTTAGGGTTTAGGGGTTTAGGGCATAGGGTTTAGGGTTTGGGGTTTAGCGTTTACGGGTTTTGGGGATTTGGGGTTTAGGGTTTAGGGGTTTGGGGGTTTAGGGGTTTAGAGTTTTATGGTCCAGACTGGCAGGTTTGGCTCCGAATTTGGGGTTACAGATCTGGGGTTTAGGGTCCGCCTGGTGCCCAAGAAATTCCTACGGCTGGGTACTCTAGGACATATTTCAGGTGGGCAGTTACCGTTATAGGAGCCATATAGAAGGTCTATATACCTTATAGAAGCGTTATAGAAGCCCTATACACCCTAAGCCTCGTCAGGTAAGGACCGTTGAGTTTTAAGGCTATAGCAGGAGCAAGCAGGGCTTTCGGACTATAGTAATTAGAGTATCAAATTCAAGTGGACCACCAGCGATACCATGACCCCTGTATCGAACAAATTACAAGAACGATCCCCAAAACAGTTCGCACTCAGTGTCCAGGTGCGCAAAACAGTTTTTGAGTTTGGGGTGTGCCGGAAGCCGAGATGAGTAGAGTTAGCCAGCTAACCCCGAACTCTAAAGTCAAGAGAAAGTCAAAGACCCCTGGACCTCTAAACTCGAAATCCTAAAGCCCTAAACCAAAAAGCAGAAAGCTGGCCGACTTTGCGACATGAATCATAGGTTTTCTGGCACGGCGGCGCATCTGAAATCCTGACATCTCAAGCCTTGAATCTTTGACACCCAAGTTTTCAAACATCAAGAAGCAACATTCAAAACCTCATAAAGCCGTCAAGATCCGACGAATTCCCCCCCCCTCCCTTGGCCCCCAAGATCCGACGAATTCCCCCCCCTTGGCCCCCTGTCCCCCACCAAACAAGAAATAAACAAGCTGCTGCTTCTAGGCCGCTATCATCGAGCACATTCGCCGTTCAAAGTCAACGGGAAGTGCTCCGGATTTCGTTCTTTGCCCACAGGACTCTGGGTAGAGAGTTTGTGTAACTGGGTCCTTGTTAAGGGCTTTAATTTAAGTTACCACAATAGGGCAACCCTAGTATTGACCATAGACCCCGAATATGGTAACTTAAACATCACCCCCTAACAAGAGCCCAGGTAAGGGCTCAGGCTTCACTAAGGGATGTAAGAAGGGTTCGGGGTGTAAGGTTTCGGGGTTAGGTTGTTTTGGAGGATTGGTTTGTTGGGCTTAGGGTTCATGGGGCTAAGGTTAAAGGGTTGTGGCCTGAGGGCGTACGCCTGCCTGTGTGAGGTGCCAGACCTTGTGTTGTCACCTTCCCAGTTAGGGGGTTAGGGTTTAGGGGTTTAGGGTTTAGGGTTGTAGGGTTGTACCCTCCAAACTCATGGAAAGCCATGGAGGGTGCAACGGGTCAAAGTTTACGGGGTGAGGAGTAGTGCTTCTCTTTCTGGCGTTCAGAACTGGTGGCTTAGGGATTTGGAGTTCCGTTTATTTTTAGGGTTTAGGCTTTAGGAGTTTAGGGGTTTAGGGGTTTAGGGGTTAGGCTTTAGTAATTTAGGCTTTAGGGGTTTAGGGGTTTAGGGTTTTTTTGACAAAGCCGGACACCCGGGCACTTCTTGTGGAGGATCTGGGCTTTCAGGTGGGTAGTTCTCTATACTAGGGTCCCGTTTAGGGTCCTTTTTACAAGGGTGCCGTACTATATTGGGGATCCCAAAGGGGACCTTAATTTAGAGGACTACTCAGGTTTTTGGGCGCGATAAAGCCAGAGCAGCTGCTCTCCTCCGAAGCTGGCACGGAACCCCACACAGCCAGCTTTTTTGATTGCTACAGGTAGTATGGGTAGTTCTCTAAATGAGGGTCCCTTTCTAGGTCCCCAATATAGTACGGCACTCTTATAAAAAGGGCCAAAAAAGGGACCCTAATTTGGAAAACTACCAGTATGGTACTTGATGAAGGGGTCCGTAGAAACATTGCAGACCCTTGGTTAACAACTACATTACTTCAAGGTGGCCTTGACCAGCGGTTTGCAAGAAGGATCCTGCTGTTTAGAGTTTAGGGTTTGTAGGTGGGGTTGCAGGGTTCAGGGCTGAAGAATCACCGAGATTCCGCATTAGGGTTCCTGATTATAGCTTAATACTACAATCGGCCCAGAAAGCCTGTTCTAATTGCTGGGGGGCCCCTTTACTAAAGGCACATAGAACCCTGATCGACACCCTCGCAGTCTTACAGGAGCCCTTGAAAGGAACAAGCCCTAAACCTTACTTAAACCCCTAAACCCCTAAACCCTAAACCCTTAAATCCCTAAACCCTACACCCCTTTAAGGAGCCCAACTCTCATTCCTAAAGGCCCCCTAAACTGCCGTTGGGGTCCCCGGCCCAGGATGGGGAGGTTGACTACCGACTTCTTGCGGTTGCATCTCATAGAAGCCTGAAGATGTCCTGACAAAAAATCTGATTCCTTAGGTCCCTGATTATGCCTGTAGCAGAATATACATCATGCTTGTTCTCGAACACTACATAGATCCGCAAAAAGGGCCCTGTTCTAAGTAACACAGGGCTTTCTAGGGCTCCAGTATTTTGTATACAGTGCATGCGCGGTTCAGAGGGTTTCAGCAGGGGCATTGGGGGCTGATGGTGACTTCTGGGAGCGGTTTAGACCTTGCCCCAGGGCTTCACATCTCCTCATGAATGCTTCTGCAAGGTTTGGCTCTCATGCAACCCCAAACCCTGAACCCTAAACCCTGAACTCTAAACCCTAAACCCTAAACCCTAACCCTACCCGAGCCGTGAAGATGGTTTTCTCTCTGAATCTCGAAGTTCAGCGCATCTGGTGGGTCACAGGACTCTATCTGGGCACACTGGCTTTGCTTCATCTAGGCATGAGGGCCACTCGCAGCCACCAAGCGCGACGGGAAGAGGAGCAATGCGCGTTTCTCCAGAGGCTCAACTCCCAGCACCGGGAGTCCGTGGATCGGACCGAAAAGGAAGAGGAAGGCTTCTTGGGAAACACTGGGATTTTCCCTCAGTGCGAATTGGATGAAATCTTTACCCATGCTCCAGGCGGGCACATGTTGAAATACAATGCAGACCGCTCTTTGTCTTTCAGGGTTATTTTCATGTTCCGAAACACCCTCTTGTCTAACGTGCAGATTCTGCACCACATGCGAGTCTGTGTACTGATGTCGGCCGTGACGAGCTTCATCCACATCGGGCTGCGTGAATTTTTTGACGTAGAGCCCGTGCAGCGCGACTGGCTTGAAGATCTGGACAAGATGTGCTCTTTCCTGACATCCTTGATCGGAGTCCTTCTGGGCTTCTACATCTCCACCGTGATGGCGAGATGGTGGAGCATGCGCTTCGATGGAATTGGTGGAATGTGGGGATCCGTGAGTGACCTGTGCGTCCTGACCGGGTCCTTCTTTCCTGGTCCAGAATCTGGGTCCTCGTTGGATATAATTTTACATTCTTGTAATAATATAACCCTAATAATGATTAAAAATGATCATGTTTGTTATAATATAACCCTAATAAGATCATCTTTGTTATAATATAACCCTAATAAGGACTAAAAATGATCATTTTTAATATGGCCCCTAAAAAGTGAACCAGGAATGGCGAAGCTTGCGAACCCTGATCTTGCGCTACGGCTTGCTCTCCTATGAGCTGACGTTTATGGAAAACGAGGATCAGGACAACCCCTGAACCCCTAGACCCCCTAAACCCCCTAACTCCTAAACCCCTAAACCCTAAACCCCTAAACCCCCTAAGCCGCTAAACTCCTAAACCCCCCACACCCCTTAGACCCCTAAACGCACCCTAAACCCCTAAAACCCGAAACCCTAAACCCCTAAAACGGCTTTAAAACAACCCTAACCCCCCTAAAAAGGACGAATATCTGGGCGCCCTGATGCAGAGGCACCTCCTCACGTCTGACGAAGCCGCCTGCTTGGCTGGAAACCCCTCGAAAGGCCGCGCCGTGTGGACCTGGGTCGGATGGATTTTCAGAGAACTCCAGCAGCAGGTTTAGGTTTCAGGGATTAGGGTTTAGGGAATTACCCATACTACAGTTTGGGGGCTCCTTGTTATGGTTATAGTGTAATGGGCCCCAAAACAGAGAACTCCAGCAGCAAGTTTAGGTTGGGTGCTGCCCCCATACAGTAACAGTCTACAATAGGGCCATTATCAGAATTAAGGGCCTGGTGTATATCCATATTATACATTTATTGCTCAACTGTTTCTGAGTGGGGGCAGTATCCAAGGTTTAGGTTTTGAGGTCACTAGAGTCGGGAACCTCTAGCTGTTATAAGCCTTACATAATGCCCAAAGGTTAACCAACAAACCCCAAACGAACCCTCAACCCTGAACCCCTAAACCCCTAAACCCTAACCCCTAAACCCTAAACCCCTAAGCCCCTAAACTCTAAACTAAACCCTAAACCCCTCAACCCTAAACCCCTGAACCCTCAACCCTAATCTCCAAACGATCAACTAAGGAACTCCATAAGCAGGGACACCTCCCGGACGTGGCACTTCGGATCTTCTTGAAGAAGGCAGAAAAGTGAAATACATATATATATATATAATATATATATAATATATATATATATAATATATATATATATATGTATACATACATATATAAGCAAATAAATGAAGGAAACAAGAAAATAGAAAAAGATCCCAAAGCCCTCTGAGCCCTGGTCCGGCAACCAGCTTGCCGGGGCTTTGAGAAATAGTCGAAACTAGGTAAGCACCAAACCACATTTAGGGCTTAGCGTTTAGGGTCTCAAGTAGCTATATAGAATGTACCTATAGTCTCCATTGTAGTTCCTTCTTTTGGTTTAACCAATTCTATATTTAGGTAACCCCAAAAAGGGACTACAATGGAGACTATAGGTACTAGCAATAATCGTAAAAAGTCAAACCCAGTAAAGCCCCTAACCCCTAAACCCTAAACCCAGTAAAGCCTTGCGCAAGGCTCTTGCAGCTCGTGGTGGTTCCGGAACTCTCCTTTGCCTGCTTGGCGTCCAGCTGCCCTTCCTGTACTTGCAGCTCCTCTCCCAGTTGGTACACTTTCTAACGATGGTGATGGCTGTGGACTGCGGCATTGCCACAGGGGCGACCCTCATCTGCCACGACATGGGAAGTCCCATTCTGAAGTTTGTCCAGATGCTCATNNTCTACAATGGCTGCCTGGAGATCGGCAGGAGCTTTTCAAACCCTTGCAAGGAAGACTTCTCCGACTTCCCGCGCCACGCCTACCACTTCAGTCTTCGCAACGAGGCCGAGTTCTTCCACAGCATCGCAGAGAAGCCGCCCCTGGCCGGCGTTCGGCTCCTCGGCGAGGCAGCCTCTCGCACGTAGACCTTTTCTAGAGCTGCTTGCCCAGTTTCTGTGCGAAGCTTGGGCGGCTCGTTGCTTCAGCTCTGCTGCTTTGCCTCCAAAAAAGCTGGGGGGGGGGGGGGGGG